TATGCGCCTTCGTCAAGATCTCTTTCTTCAGGGCCTCGACATTCGGCACAACGATCCTTCCTTTGTACTCCAGGGCACCATCTGTGCCTCGATAAAAGCCCTCTACTCCTCCGACATTAACATTCGCCCCCATCGAGCGAACGAACTCGTCGAAGGCTTGATCCCTCCGTATCCTATCTCGTAGCGTGGTCCACATTCTCATCGCTCGAATACCTCCCACAACTGGTAACTTAGGAGGTGATTCAACCACTTCTAGCTGCATGTGAGCAAACTCATGAATCAACTGACGCTGTTGAGTGATCATACAAGTCAGTTCACCCTTTCCCTTCCGGCTGAGGGCATCGGCAACTACGTTCGCCTTGCCAGGATGATAGTTAATGGTGCAGTCATAATCCTTCACTAGCTCCAACCATCGCCGTTGGCGCATGTTGAGCTGCTTCTGCGTGAAGATATACTGTAGGCTCTTGTGGTCTGTGTAAATCTCGCAGTGGCCTCCGTACAGATAATGCCTCCAAATCTTAAGAGCGTGAACCACTGCAGCCAACTCAAGATCGTGAGTCGGGTAGTTCATCTCGTGCGGCTTTAGCTGACGGGAAGCATAAGCCACAACCCTGCCGTCTTGCATCAAAACACAGCCTAAACCCTGCTTCGAAGCATCACTATAGATAGTGAAACCCTGTGTGGGGTCTGGAATAGTCAACACGGGTGCCGTCGTAAGCCTCAATTTGAGCTCCTGGAAGCTCGACTCACAACGACTATCCCACTCAAACTTCACCGATTTCCTCGTCAAACTGGACAAGGGTAGGGCAATCTTCGAAAACCCCTCGATGAAACGTCTATAATATCCCGCCAAACCGAGAAAACTCCGAACCTCGGTGGCATTTCTTGGTTTTGACCAGTTTCGAACTGCTTCAATCTTGCTTGGGTCTACCTCAATTCCTCTAGATGTGACGATATGGCCTAGGAAAGCCACTCGATCGAGCCAAAATTCGCACTTTGAGAACTTAGCGTATAACTTCTCACTCCGAAGAGTCTCCAAAACGGTTCTCAAGTGCTCCTCATGCTGCTCCGGGCTACTAGAATAGACCAAAATGTCATCAATGAAGACGATGACAAACTGGTCCAAAAATGGATGGAAGACACGGTTCATGAGATCCATGAATATCGCTGGCGCATTGCTTAAACCAAACGGCATCACAACAAACTCATAATGACCGTATCTAGTTCGGAAAGCGGTCTTGGCCATGTCGGCCTCTCTGATTTTTAGCTGATGGTAACCAGAGCATAGATCGATTTTGGAAAATACACTGGCTCCCCTCAGCTGATCGAATAAATCCTCAATTCTGGGAAGTGGATACTTGTTCTTCACCGTCAACCGGTTGAGATCGCGATAGTCGATGCACATACGCATAGACCCATCCTTCTTCTTAACAAAGAGGACAGGCGCTCCCCAAGGTGAAACACTCGGTCGGATGAAACCGAGACTCAACAGCTCCTGAATCTGAGCCTTTAACTCTTGAAGCTCTTTCAGCACCATGTGATACGGCGCTTTCGACACGGGTCCTGCTCCGGGGACTAAGTCGATTGTGAACTCCACCTGGCGGTTAGGTGGTCCTCCCGGAAGCTGATCGGGAAAAACATCCACAAACTCATGAACAATGGGTATATCTCCGGGAAACAACTTCTCCGAAGATTCCCCAACAATGTTGACAAGAAATCCCTGACAATCCTCTCTCTGCAAGTACTTTGTTGCTTTCGCCATGGAAATAACGCGCGGTAAGGTTCGAGACTTCGTCCCGAAGAA